CAAAAGTGATGATAAAGGCATTTATAATGTTACAAAAGATTTCTATTTCAGATAAATAGTGTTCATATCGATATCGAAATTATATCGTATCGACCGAAATTAAGAAATATATCGTGATATCAATTTTGGCCATATCGTCCAGCCCTAACCAAGCGACTGATGAAATGTTAAATGGATATTACAGTATATGACAAATCCCTCCACTTCCACAAAGAGAACCATAAAAAGCGCTGGAGTCATGAGAATATGAGGCATGTGCTCTCAACCTTACGCCCTTCAGCTGGACAGAGCACATGCACGGCTTAAATTGCGATCTCTGAAACAATTTCACATTCAGTATCTCTGGAAACTTGTCACATCTGTTCTGGTGTTAAGGTTGAAATATAATAAAAAAGAAAAGAAACGAGTCCTAATAGTTATGCCTTTGTAGACAACTTCACTAATGCATTTTATTGATGTTTGACAAGCAAAATAAACTTCATCAAAGAAAGTGTTTTAAATGCAACCTTCACAACCCATTTTGTTTCTGTCCTGTTACAGTTTAAGTGAAACGAGGCATTCAATGAGAAAAATATTCAGAAACTGAAGAAATGGGTTCGGTTTTATGTTGACTTTAACTGCTGTCCAACAGGATTTATGAAGTATAACACGCATATTTGTAAATACTAAATATTTCTTAATTTCGATCGATACGATATAATTCCGATATCGATATGAACACTATTTTAAAAAGCCTTGTAAAAACTGCCAAGAACGCCCACAACAGATGTCTGTGCATATTTATTATTATGTTGAAAAAAGCGGAGTATAATTTTTAAGGTTCTTTTGATTAATAGAAAGTTCAAAAGAACAGCATTTATCTGAAATAACGCATCGATTCCCTACAGGAGGCCTTTGTTCACCCCCCCGGAGCCGTGTGTGACACTTTTTTTTTTTATGGATGGGCGTTTTTTATTTAATTTCTTTTGGACTGATGCATGCAACACCCGCTGAGTGGCATTAAACAGCTTGAAAGATCAAAGACGATAGTTGTATCTCAGCCAAAAGCTTATTTATTCAGCTTCCAGATGATGTATGAATCTCCATTTCAGAAAAATGACACTACTCAGCACTTATGACTGGTTTTGTGGTCCAGGGTCACATATTTGATAGATATCTTTAAATAAATCTTCCATCTAAAGTTTGGGTCATATGGCCCACTAATAATCGTGTTAAATAATAGTGATTACAACATTGACCAAAATAATCGTGATTAAGATTTGTCATAATGGAGCAGCTCCTACTTGATAGTCTCTGTCCTTGTGTGTGTTTCCAGTCACCCCTGATCTGTCTCCAGAGACCCTTCCGCTCGCGGCGCCTCGATCCCCAGCAGCCACCGCCGGCCCGCGAGCGCACCGCAAGCCCAGCGAGGGCCACAGCGGGCAGCCGGCGCGCGGAAGCATGGAGGTGGGCATGCGCGTGGTGCGCGGCCTGGACTGGAAGTGGGGGAACCAGGATGAAGGAGAGGGGCACGTGGGCACGGTGGTGGAGATCGGCCGGCAGGGCAGCACCACTACGCCCGACAAAACTGTGGTGGTGCAGTGGGACAGCGGCACTCGCACGAATTACCGCACCGGATACCAGAGCGCCTACGACCTGCTGCTGTACGACAACGCACAGATCGGTGAGACCCAACACCTCCTCCAGTTACAGCCATGCTAAACACTGCAACAGCTGCAGAAGCTTACACAGCGGTGGCCAAAATGATTAGAACACTAGTACTGTCACCAGCTAAAAATGGTTTTAAGTCAGTTATTTCTATCTTTTACTGTAGTGTGTCAGTAGAAAATAACAGTTTACATTTCCAAACATTCATTTGGCCATTAATTGTAATAATGCAGTGAGATGTTTGTGCTGCACACAGAGATCTGATCTGATCATCATCAGTCTGTCTGGAGTCACATGAAGAAACAGAACAAACTGAGACAGACTCAATCCAGAAGAACTTTAGGCACTTGTGTAAAAATGCTGTCAAAAATAAAGTCATAAATAGATTTTCTTTATCTATTAACTAAATGAGATCAACATTTGGTGTGAGCATCCTTTGTGTTTAAAGCAGCTTTTGCCCTTGGTGCACTTGAGCAGAGTTTCTCAGGAGCTTTGCAGGAGGTTTCTTGAAGCGTCTTGGGGAGATATAGAAAAACACATCAATGCCAGGAAGCACAACTAGCGATCGCCAGGAACACTCTTTTAATTAGATGCAGCACAGTACATTTGTCTGTAAATATAACATTTTTGACAGAACGTAGTGATGCAGTCATAATGCAACATGGAGAGTAAGGTTAATACAAATCACACTGTTTCGGCAAAAGGGTCACAGAGTTATTTTATAATATTTTCTTGTGCCTAACTTACAGACAGCATGGCCACACATCACTGTTTGATTGAGGGAGTCATTGTATCATTCAGTAACTCACTTTTTTTGGAGCTATTTTTGTTGAAGTAGCAAAAACAGACAATATGTGTCTAACAATATGTGTCTAATTGTTATTTAATAATAACTTCTTGTTTATTGAACTGATCTATGAAATCAACATCACATTTGCAACATGCAACTCATGGAAAAATAGCACTTCTGCTCATGTTAGTAAATGTTGACATTAATATTGACTGACATTAGAAAAATGCAATTTTTTATTGTTACTTGATGTTAATTAATGTGGTTAACTAATGTTTAGAATAGGGAACACATATTCAATATTTTCTCAATAATAGTGAATATGTTCTTCATAAACTCCTGGTGACCACAAGTAATGAGTGTGAGTGTGCGTGAGTGAGTGCGTGCGTGAGTGCATGCACGAGTGCGTGCGTGCGTGAGTGTGCGAGTGTGTGTGTGTGTTTGTGAGAGTGTGCGTGAGTGAGTGAGTGAGTGCATGTGTGAGTGTGTGCGTGCGTGCGTGTGTGAGTGAGTGTGAGCGTGAGTGTGTGAGTGCGTGAGTGTGTGAGTGTGTGCGTGAGTGTGCGTGTGTGAGTGCGTGTGAGTGTGTGAGTGCGTGTGTGAGTGAGTGTGAGCGTGTGAGTGCGAGAGTGAGTGAGTGAGTGAGTGA